GCAGGCAGAGAAGGCGTACGTAGAAGTGCATTTTTTAAAAACTAGAGTAAGAAACGTAGACCACGCAGAGAAGCTTAAACAATGCTAACTGCTAACATATGTGAAATTTCTGTGAGAGGACATTGTTTCCATTAGAGTATTATTTTCTGACACAGTTTTTTTCTTCTGTAGGAGCTGATTGAAGCTTGATTTTAGATATGAAATATTTCTTCCTCCCTTAAAAGTCACCGGGTATAGGGGTACAGTAAGTCTGCTATGAATATTGTTAAAACATGTAAGAAGGGAGAGATTCAGACAGAATACACGGTTACAAGGTTTTTTTGAGTCCAATTTCATTGTGCTTTTACACATCTGGATAATTAACCAAGCATTACATTCTCTCTAGACTATTTTTACAAGTACAGTATGCCCTTAATGTGATTTCCATTAGGCTGTTCCAAACATCATTTAAGAACGCAGAGAGATTGCAGACTGAGATTCAGAACCACTCTTCCACTGTGATGCTGAGACCTTGCTCTCTCCTGGGGGAAATAAAAGACTGAAAGCTGAATTCTCAGATCCTTCCGATGTAACGAGGAAAGCTGGGGTTGGCTGCTTCTCTAAGTTCCAGCGAATGCAAGCAGATACAGATACACCCCAATATCTCTGGTCCTTGTCAGAGGTGAGCTCAAAACTCGAGCCTCACAAGAACTGGGCTGGAAAGTGCATCTTGAAGCTTCTTTAACTGTTAGCAGGGAACAGTAAGAGCAGCCCAAAATCCTGATGTGTTGACAGCCAACCTCGTTTGAATTATGGTGGCAGATAAATATGTTTATGTGGCTGAGTTCCTCATTTGAAGGTCACAGCCGAGTTCTAAAATAATATGTGCTCAGATACTTTCTGCACACGCTTTTGTTCTTTCCTTTTATAATTGCTTGGATGCTGTTCTGAGCTTTTACGAGGCCAGGGTCTGATCTGATGGTAGAAGGTTAGTGTTCATTCACAGACGTCAGGAGCTTCGTGAGCCAGCTGCTGCCCACATTGGTGAACACCCACGAGAGATCAGAGAAACCACAAGGCATTCGGTTGTGATGGTTGTTGCCTTTGTCCTTCCTCGTTACCGGCAGAACTCAGAACAAAAGAAGCAGGAGTTCATAAAATCACAGGATCGTAATGACAAGTCCTAAGGGGCTGTTTAGTCCATTTCTGATCCATCAGACACCCACACCTAAATTCTTTCCCCCAAACAAGGAATTCTATTCTGTTTAAAACATATGGAGAAGAGGGAAAACCATGCAAAAGAGAATATGATTTATTGTCGGGTTGTCTTTTAAAGTGCTTGTGGTGCTCAGAGAATCGTTCAGTTGAGAAATAAATAATTGAAAAAAAATAAACAGGTCTGATCTTGCAAAAAAAAATTATGTGTCAACAGGAGAGTGAAAATAATTGTAATTTCACTATACTGTTTCTGTGTCTGCTTTCCATTAAATAACCCTGTAATTGTCTACCGTGTGACAGCCCAAGCCACTCAACCAATGGAATGATGAATGAAAATGGCAGGGAAGGATTTGTCACACTGACACAGGCCAGAAAGTGTGTGATAGTCATTAGAAAGCAAAAAATGAGGTGGACCTCCTCGTTGCCGGGTCAGCCAACGTGCCTGAACATGGAGGAATCTGTTTTGGATGTTGTTACAGAACTGCCCATCTCCCTGTCGCGTCTTCCATAAACGGTCAGCTTAGCCCGCGAGTGCCGTCAGGGAACCCCAGGCCGAGGCCCAGCTCCGGGCGCCAGAGACCCGTACTCTGTCCCAGCGCCATGGACTGAAATGTGACTTGACGTGAGAAACGGGAGGTGGGGAGGCAGCCGGGCCCGGATGGATTTCCAGCCAGGCTTGTGCGTTTCATGCACGGGCTCTTGTTATCCTCATTTTAAAATACGATAGGAGGCTAAGGGTAGCTTTAATGGGCTCAAATTAAAGTAGGCGAAGAAGCCGGGTTCGTCGTCGAGGCTCAGAAATGGAGCAGGTGTTCCTTCTTAGTTTCCTGCCTGGACACATCCAGGTGCACAGGATGGCCACAGGGGGAAGGCGTCATAAGAGTGAGGCTGTTTGGACCTCAGCTGGTCATCGCTACCTGCAGAGCAGTTCAGAGTGCATGTCTTTCCATCTCAGGAGGAGGCAAGAGAGGTGTTTCATTGCCAGGTTTTGTAACGAGACAACTAGAGTGATAATGTCACTGGAAGATACACTTTTTAGTATTTGTACTAATTTCCAATAGGGACACATGTTTAGAAGTAGTACCGGATACGTCATTTACTTACCAACTATGGTTCGTGTGCTGGACAAGGTACACATTATGGGCATGATTACCTACAACGTGGTGAACTTTGCCTTACCTCATTTGAGTCAAGTTTTACATAGTGTATTCTCAAAAGAAATGGTGAACTTTACAAGTTTCATGCTTTATTCAGTTGTGTGTCTCCTCAGGTAGTTACTATAGTGCCTTTGACAGAAGAGTTGCCCAATTAACTATCATCTGATCGAAATTATATAATACATCTTTACTGGTGAAATCATTACTCAAGGAAATTTGCTTTTAGGGGATCATCCTACAGAAAGTTTGTGTGATAAATGTTCACTTCTTATGCTTAAAAAGAGAATATGTAGCCCATTTATGCAGCAAACCAAATTTCAGGCATGTAAACACATCTTTATATTATCATAAGGAAGCTAAAATGTGCCCATGAGTATGAATGAATAAATTGCTTTGATTCAGGACTTTGCCTAAATAACATTATTGCACACGAGGGCTGCATCAGGGAGGAGATTTTGTATAAATTATGTAAATTGCATTTTTCATCATAACTCAGGAGGCGTTTAGGTTTTGGAGCAGGTCAGACCAAGTTTAATTCTGACTCGACCAACTAAGCTCTCTGGGCCTCGGCGTCCACACATTGAAATGGAAGTAATGATATCTCCAGCATATGATTAGGGTCTGAAATTGGTGAGAGCTCTCAGGGGTTCCTAGTCTTTGAACTACAGACCCTGGAGAGCCTTGGAAATATTGGGAACAGCCTGCAGACTCAGATGTACCCACATAATGCCTCTAGTCTGTGTTGAACGTACATGCACTGCTGTTCTCAAATACATGTGGGTTAGCTCAAGATTCATGCAACGACTGTTTACTGAGCACTGACAGATAACCACCACCAGTCCCAGGGGCTGCACTAATGAACAAAGCAAACCGATATCCTTGTGTTTGTGCATCTTCCAATCTGGGTGGGGGAATAACAATGCAAAATATGTGAAAGTTAGTTGGCAAGTGATGAGGATTGAAATGTAAAAGGAGAGAAAGGAACCAGAAAATGTCAAAAAAAAAAAAAAGAGGTGTGAAAAGTTTAGATAGGGTGGACAGGGAAGGCATCTTTCAAAAGGCCTTGCTTAAGGAGGTGAGGGAGTTAGCCATAAGGATATCTGGGGGGAACATTCCAGGTGGCAGGAACAGCTCATGCAAGGGCTGTGGGGGGAGGGACAGTGGGACCACACAGCGGGGCCACAGTCATCACTGCGGTCCCAGAGGCACTGGGGAGGAAGGAGCAAGAGGCTGGTAGGGCATAATGCTAGTGAAGGGACCAGATCCCATCAGCCCTTATGTCTCAGAAAAAGCACTTCGCTTTTCCTCTGAGGGAGACGGAAGCCCTTAGGGTTTGAGCAGAGGAGTGGCGTGATCTGACTTGTTGCACAGACCACTGTCTTGACAACAGGCTGGACAAGGGCAAGGGTGAAAGCAGGCGGCCCGTTAGGAGGCTACTGCGATAATCCAGGTGAGCGGTGATCCACCACGAAGTGGGGGTGCGAGGAGACAGTGCATTTTGGCCACGGGTGACAGAATGGAGTCACAGGCGGGCTTTTCTAGGGTGTGAGCGAGGCAGAGGATGGCGCCCAGATTTGGGGCCTGAGCGGTTAGAAGGACAGAGTGAGTGCAAATGGAAAGGGCAGCTGCTCATGGGAGGGTCTGGGGACTGGAGCTCCGCCTTGGACACAGGAAGTTTAACATCAGACATACAAGTAGAGATGTCGAGAAGGCAAGTTTTTAGTGGGAGAAATGTAAAGTGGTTTTTCAAATCTTACTGAACTCATAGGGGGGAATGCAAACGACTATAATTGAACAATAAAATAATTTTTAAAATATTACTGAACTCCTAGTAGTAGCTTTTTAAGCATAATCTCAAAGCAGCATTATTATTAGGTTTATGTCCACAAAGTATTTTGAAACTAAAAAAAAAAAAAGCAAAAAACCTTATACTGGAGAAGGTTGGAACCAGAGGTAAGTTCTAGTGACCATTTTTAATAGTATTTTCCTTTTCTTCTTCCTTTAGTACATGTTCATATCAAAATTTGCATCCTTATACAGATTTCAAAATCTTCATTTTAGCCTTGAGATTTTTTAAAATAAAGCTTTTAATGGAACTTTCTGGTAAGAAAAGCCCAGTGAGTGGCAGAATTGTGTTTACTGGTCCATGTTTTGCTTTGTTTAATTTTGGAAGGAAATTCGCAGGCTCACTTGTTACACGTTCACTGATCACTTTTTGTGCGCCTAACCTGTGATCTGTGTGTCACCTGGTGCTGGTTGGGATGACAAAAGGAGCGAGAGCTGTTTGCTGTTGTGGAATTTATAATGCGAGGTTAAGAAATAAATGATATGACCCCTGGCCGGCGTAGCTCAGTGGATTGAGTGTGGGCTGCGAACCAAAGCGTTGCAAGTTCAATTCCCAGTCAGGGCACAGGCCTGGGTTGCAGGCCACAGCCCCCAGCAACCACACATTGATGTTTCTCTCTCTCTCTCTTTCTCCCTCCCTTCCCTCTCTAAAAAATAAATAAATAAAATCTTAAAAAAAAATAAACGATATGGCTCATGTGGAAATCCAGCTGTTTTGTTGCTATTTTACTGAGTGTACACATGTATTCTTACTAGCGTACCTTTGTGATGGTTTGTTTTAACATTTACCCTTATTCTCAGTCTTACGCAGGCAAATACGTGCCGGCCATTGCATACTATATCCACACACTCAACCCCACGCTGTCGCTGCCGATCAACCTGAAAGGAATTGCCATTGGAAGTGGGTTCTGCCATCCTGAATCAGTAAGTGTCTCCTTTTCCTTTCTATTTTGTCCCTTAAGGAAAATAAACCTTTTATTAGACGGAGGTTCCTCCATCTTGGATTTTATTGTTGTTCAAGTTACAAACCTTCTAAGGATTGACCTGAGAGATCAATCCTGATGAAGAGAAATACTGTTGCCCAGTTGATGTCTAATAATTTCAATCTTCTAATTTTTACAAAATGTTTTAAGATGTCAACTTACTGTGTCAGCCTAGGTTAACTATGAGGACAAGTCTGGGGGTGTGTGTGTGTGTTTGTGCACTGTGTTTGTATAGTGTGTGTTTGTGTGATGGGCATATGTGTGGCCTGTGCTATGTGTTGCGTGGGTATGTTTGTGTGTGTCTGTGTAGCACATGCATGCGTGCAATGTATGTTGTATGTGTGTGTGTGTTGTGTGGTATGTGTGTTTGTGCTTTGTGTTGTGTTTGCATTTACACTATGTGCTGTGTAGTATGTGGTGGGTGGATGTGGGTGTAACTGTCGTGCTTGGCTAATTCTAGCGTGAGACGAGAAATCACGGAGGGTTATTTCACCAAGCAGATGGCCTTCCCTAACCTCTTCCTCGTCCTGTGGCGTTCGCATTTGTCTCTTTTCTCCTCAGGTCCTAAGGGGCTATGCGTCAGCAATGTACGAAATGGGCTTGCTGGATGAGAATCAGAGAAAGTACGTCGAGGAGCAGAGCCAGGAGGCTTTGGAGCACTTAAAGAAGAGGGAGTGGTCCCAAGCCCTTGAAGTGAGTTCAGGGGCCGAGGGCCCCCTGCCCCCCATGGTGCCCGCTGTTTGTTGTTGTTGCTGTTGTTGTTCGAGAAGGTGTATCTGTTGTGCCTGCCGACAGAGAAGGAGATGGGTGGGCTCATGATGAAGAAAAGAACTGTTTGGGTGTCTTTGAATTTCCTTTGGCTATGGAGTGTTTATCTAACTGTGTCTTTCATTAATGATTTTGATTTCTTTAAATGCTCTGTGGACCCTAAGGGCACAGCCTATTGTAAGGGAATCAGGAGGAGAGGCAGCTGCGGGGGTGGGTGCATGTGCTTCAACCTCCGCTCCAAACCCTTCAGGAGGGCGACATCCACACCTAGCGTTTGGGAGGGGGGGAGGTGACTGAATGTGTCACAAATGTCACAGGTTCCTGTGGGTCAGAAACAAAGAGTATAAAGTGTCGTCATTTGCAACTTTTGCAAAGAGCCATTGGTATTTGTAAATAGGGGCACATTCTCCCCTAATACTGAAATGGAGAGCCGAATAATATCATATTCTTCACCTTTTTTGTTATTATTTAAAAGGTAAGATTATACTAAGTATTAGGGTATAGGAAGTTGGGATTTTTTGTTGTTTTTGCCAATGCAGACAAAGGCAACGTGTAAGCAGCCTTTCTTTGGGGTGGGGGGGTGCCACTTTTATGATATAGCCGTCATGTTTGACACATTAGCAAATGAGGCAAGAATTGAATTTTGAAGACTTTCATCTTTTTTTGCTATTGGAAGCACATCCTGTAACAGTTTACCTAACAGCATTGCTGTTATTAAGACTGAGGCCTGATAGTAATAGTCTCCTGGGCACTGCACGTCAGCTGGTTCCTATCAAAACAGGAGACACACAAACTCAGGGAGAAGGGCAGTAACGTAAAACTGTGCCCCAGTTTGCAAGGGCGCTACCTGGAATCCCCCAACTCGGCGGCGGCAGGGACTGCCCTGGCTATGAAGTTTGATAGCAGCCAGCTGTGCGGCTGGACTGAGCTCAGGAAGTCCGGGGCCATCCATCCGCAGGATGCGGGCGGCCTCCCCTTTCCCTGTGTCAGGACACCTGCCGTGGCTGCAGGGTGTGGATTCGGAACTTCTTGTGCGATAGGGCAATTGCAAATGTGACAGATCTCCATTGTAAAAGGAAGACAGATCTTACTGCGGATGTGTGCAATCATTCTTTAACTCACAAGGACAGCATTTTCGAGGCTGGTTTTAGGCTGTCTGCTATGGTAGGCAGAAAAGGGGAAAAGGACTAAATCATTAGAATTTGGAAATCCTATCAAAATTTACATCCTGTTAGACCAGTCTGCCAGTGAGACATTTGGTGGGTTTGGCGAAGCATACAGTGACTGAGCAATGTCAAGAGCAAGAACGGTTCATAGGCCCAAAGGGATAAAGAAAGCAAAGCAATGTTTGCTGTGTGTGATGCCCTGACACTGCGGAAAAGTTCAAGCCTGTCGTATATTCGGAGATAGTAAGAAGGTGGCCCATGAGGTTCAATAGGGTCTCTCTGGAACCAGATTCATCAGAAAACAAATAAACACACAAAACCCCCAAACCCTTGAAGGTATGCAGTGCCTTGAGTGATGAATTACAACGTAAAGACCTTTGCTTTTTCAAAAGAAATAGATAAAATGATACTTAAGGGAGTCAGCAAGTAGTGGTCAAATATGTTTCAATGTCTGCCATGGAAACTGCAAGAAATCCTGAAACCCAAGAGAAAACTGGGTTTTGACATCTCAAGCCTAAATAATGAAGACTGTTTGATGCTTTGATCCCTTAAAATGATTTAGTTAATCAAAGAATAGTAGCTCAGAGCTGGAGGGAATTTGAAAGATCGTCTTTTTTTCCCCTGACACTGATGCACACATCCGAAGAGATGTAATCAATTGCCCAAAGCCACCTAACAGGTTGTGGGCGGTCTGGGGGTAGAATTGTCTCCTTCCCTGATTCCCACCCCAGTAGTTCTTCTGTGATACTTTTCAGGCTTTCTGTAAAAATCCTGGGACATCTTAACAATTCTACAAGATGCACACAAACCTATCTCTGGTCCTGTATTATCTTTCTCACCCTGACAGGGTTCTGGGTCACAGAGTTCTCTTTGGGAACCAAGTTTTGAATTAAAACTGGATTGCACAGGTCTTGACAACCTTCCTTATTTGATTGACAGCCAATGATCTTTGATGCTTCGGAATTAAATCCATTCTTAAATGTTGAGTTTATGTTCTTCTTGGTGTCAAGGATAATTTCTAAAGATGAATTCCAAAAATGCTGCAAACATTCAGGACCAGTGCTGGCCTGCACTGTCCCCTCTGAGTGAACACATGAGGAAAAGACACCTCTGGACTGACAAAGTCTTGTGGGTTTAGGGTTTGGCAGGCAGATGCCGCCATTGTACGAGGATAAGAAGTGGCCATTTCTCCACTCGCAGCCCCAAGCCAGATTACCCAGCTTGGCAAGCAGAACTTTGGCCAGTTGTCTGCCCCATCTCACCCCTCGGCCAGACGTCCCCACGTCCTGCACAGTCCGCACAGCCGGAGGCAGTGGCCCTGAGCCAGTGCTGCGAGGGCACGCCTATTACCCACCCCACGCCCCGCTTTCCGCAGCGATCGTGCTTTTAATACAATACTTGGTCCCGAAACCTGTGGCAGTGGTAACTTGGATACATTTAAGTTGCTTCATGTTTGAAAAACATAATAATCTAATCAGATGATGAAATTTTAAATTAAACCCCAAAGCATGGCCAGGAAGAATTGCAGAATGGGAGACACCTCGGTCTGACTGTCGGGGAGCTGGTCTGTGTGCGTGGTTGCACACGGGGTCAGGGTCAGAGTTCGACTCTCACCTCTGACATCGTTCAGGCGTTGTCCTTGGCCGGTGCCTTGACCTCTACGTGCCTCAGTTTCCTCACTTGTAAAATCAGGATACTGACATCTTACCTCGTAAGATGCCTACATTTATACTTGATGGATGGTTTTGAAAATGTTCCGAATTCATTTCTTAAAGTCCTTTTACAAGAGCCCCTTAGGACTCGGTGTCCTCACCCCAAAACTCCCCAGGTCCTCAGTCTCTTCTGTGACTTTCCCTTCCTCTCCGTCCTCTACCCCCACACCTGTTTTCTCCCCGATGCTGCTGATTCGTTCTCTGCAGCCGCCTCAAGTCAGGGCCGTTTCCCTCTCTTCCCTCCTCTGCACCGCTTGGTTCACAGGTAGCGGAAGTGTCCTTCTGATTCCTCGTTGCTGCTTCCCGTTCATGCTCCCTGTCTCGTAAAGCAATGCACTTTAACCCTCTTGTCCTCAATGCCCCCCCCCCACTTCCTCTTAGAGTTATCTACCACCCCCTGGCTCCCTCCTTTCCATTCTTCACACATATTTGACCACCCCCCTCACTGTCACCCTCCCCAGCATCCTCTTGTCCTGGGGACTGCAGTACCCACATTCATGATTCTGGTAGTCATCTGTCCCTCAGTTCCCGAATCTCCTCCCTTTCAGGGATCTCGTCTCTTCTTTACCTTAGCTGCTCATTCCCATTGTCCCTGCCGAGAGCCAACAATTGTTCCACAGCCTCCGATTCAAATATCTTCTTCCAACTACCTCCCACCCTCGTAGCTCGTGTCTGTGAATATACCAGCTCAGACAACCGCCATGCAGCCATATCATCTTTCCGTTCGTTGATCTTACTACCTCCCCAGGATCCCTAACGCTCTCAAGTCTTAATTTCTCTGATTACCCAATGTAAAGCCAAGGTCAGTCATTATGCACGGTTCCAAGCCTTTGGCGCCTCCTCTAGCGCTTTCCGCTGAAGGCACCTCTCAGCCATTCCGTGCCACCCCTCAGCAGCCGAACGTGACTGGAAAGCTGACAGCCAAGCTGAGTGCGCTCGCCCTTTGCCGGTGACCTGGCCGTTACAGTTCAGCTCCACACACGTGCATTCATATCCACATCCTCTGTCCTCCGTCCTCATTCTGTGGCCCAGCGGTCAACGGTCCATGTCAAGGCAACCCTCCCCCACAAGGCTCGCTCTCATAGTCGAAGCCTTGGACTTGCCGTTTCCTCTGCCCGGAATGTGCTTGCCCTAGTTGTCTGTGTGGCTTGCTCGCTCCTCCCAATTGGTCTTTGCTCCAGTGCCACTTGGTACGTGTCCCGTAAGTGCATGCATATACATGTGCCCACGCGTTCCCATGGTGCTTCCTCCTTCCCTCCTTTTTTGTTTTCTCCTTAGCACTTATCACTCCTTAACATACTACTTATTGTACCCATTCATGCTAGTTTATCGTCCCCATCTAGAATATGTGCTCCACAAGGAAGGACTTCAGGTCTGTCTTTGGTCACTGCCCTTTCCCCAATGTCTAGGACAGTGTCCAGCACAGGGGAGGTGTGCAATGAGTGGCTGTTGAACGGAAGAGTGAAAAAGTGAAATAGGTATGGAAGAAATGAAATGACGAATGCCCATGCATTTTCACCCACCCAGATGTTTTCTTTCTTTCTTTCTCCCTTCTCTCCCGACCTAGGTATTCAATAGAGTGCTAACCGGTGACAATGCTTACATGGTGAATGTCACAGGATGTCCTGACCTGTCTAACATTGTACAGTGCGTGGTAAGGACATTTCAAAAACCATGGTAGTGTTGGCTTAAAACTTTTAGCAACACCAGACTTCTTTCGATTTGGGAAATATTATAGTTGACTTGATACTAGACAAACATGGCCAAACTGTATTGCATTATTTGGTCTTTTCATCTGTAGGATTTTTTTCCCCATCTGACCATCGAGAATGTGTGATATTCTACATAGCTCAAAACAAGCTCCAATTAACACAATTTTCCCCCAAAAGAGCTTGTTTACACAAATTCCTTTGTGAAGGGCAGAGGCTGGGACCACGTTTCTGAGGGTCAGGCCCCAGGGTTCTGAGCCTGTAGTGAGTTTCTTGAAAATGCCCACATTATTTGTTCTGTTTTTAAGACAGCTTGGGTCATCAAAGCTGCCAAAATCTTTACAAAGGTACTTGCTTTGTCTTCCTTATAACTTAAGATGTTTCTTGCACCTAGTCTGGGCCTCGCTTTGAGCCTGCTGGAGTATTTCTCAAACTATTCAAGTAGTTTCTTTCATAAAAGTAGGCCAGAGGTGATGTGTTTTGTATAGAACTAATCAAATAAGGCAAAGTGAGCCAAAGTGGGAATTTGGGTTGTATTAATCGTTGTCTAGTGTATAGGACAATCCATTCTGTTTGTAAAAATTACCTTATTTATACACTATTCTGTAAATAAAATTTAAAGCTAACATCAACAGAATTTGCCAGCTTTGTGGTTTTAGAGTTTACCAAGAGAAAAAAAAAATATATGGTATCAAAAGAGACACAAAATTTTTTATTTGATTTTTTCAAAGTAATAATCCACAGTTAGCACAGTTATTGCTGATGCACGAAACAGTTGATCTCAAACTCTGATGAGTTTTTCATCCTTTTGTAACTTTTTTTAAAGATTTTATTTATTTATTTTTAGAGAGGGAAGGGAGGGAGCTAGAGAGAGAGAGAAACATCACTGTGCGGTTGTTGGGGGTTATGGCCTGCAACCCAGGCATGTACCCTGGCTGGGAATTGAACCTGCGACACTTTGGTTCGCAGCCCGAGCTCCTTTTGTGACTTTTTAAAGCAACATTTAATCCTTTTTATTTTAGTTTAATGACTATTACAGAGACTTGCACGCAGTATTGTTTTAAAAATAGGGCTCATGGATAGCTTTTCTTTTGTCTCATGTGCCTCAAAAAGTCATCATCTGTTTTTACATTCCCTATCTTCCCCTGAAATGATGGTCAGCTGATTATGGTGTGTGTGTGGTTTTGATAAACAGAACAAAGAAAAGAAACCATCCGTTTGTCACCCTGGGCCCTGTGCTCATTGGATCTTCTTTCCATAGACCCTCAGGCAAGGAGCAAATGGACCCTGATAATCTCCCCTCTTCCACTTTCCCTGTGTTCCCTTCCCATGGGACTGTTCCTTGGAGTCACAGAATGTAAACGATTACGTTCTAAAAAGGGAAATTCCAGCATTTGCAAATTGGGTATTGGCTCTAAGAGTCTCAGAGCGTCCAGATTTGTTGTTAGTAAAATTTAAATGAACACAAACCCCCAGGTTAAAACGTTCAGGGTGGAGGCAGGGGAGCTGTCTGTTGTGCTGTATCTTGTTCATTAGGATGTTATGTTACAAGAAACTTGAAACTTAGACAGCGTTGGGCTCTCCATGCTCCCTAATATCTTTCTGGTGCCCCTTTCCACCAGGAACCTGAGGAATATAGTTACTTTAGGAAATTTTTGGCCCTCTCAGAAGTGAGACGAGCCATCCACGTGGGAAACCATACTTTTAACGATGGGTCCGAAGTTAAAAAGCACTTGGAGGGAAGCTCCATGTGGTCAGCTCTGCCGTGGTTAGCCGAACTCATGAACAATTATAAGGTAAGAGAGCTATTTCAGTCACTATTTTAGGAACTTTTCGGATTATCCAGAGCAGAGGTGACTTTTCTTCTTTGATGTCTTCCAACTTCTATTTATGCTGACTTTTATGGTGCTTTACAAATATAAATAACAACCCACTCACTGTTTGAATGCTTCGAATGAAAAGTTTTGCCGTTTTACTTTCTAATGAAGTCACTTACCCTGACAGTTCCTAAAATGAGATTCTAGGCACCCGCCACCTCTCCTTCTTCCTTGAGAAGAGAAATCACAGGGGAGATGGGAAGGTGCGGCCTTGGGTAAGCCAATGCCCCCTTATTGTTTGGTGTGTTACAGTCATCGCAGTGGAGTCAGGGATGAATGACATCAACTGGTTATTCAAAAAGTGTCTTTTGCCTAACGATTGACTTCATTCATGGTGCTTACACGCAGTTTTCCTAGCATCCTCAGCCAGCCACACACTGGGCGAGGGTGTCGGGTCGAAGCGATGAGTGCGGAAGGGTCCTCGGAGGCGTGCAATGCCTGCCACGGAGTTACCCGATGGAGGTGTACGTACCGCCCGCTTTGCTGCTGGAGGCGACAGACGAGAGCGAAGTTGTGGACAGGAAGCCCCGAGGGTTCGGGCAAAGGACTCCTGGGCTCCCGAACTCTAAGGAAGAGGGTGGACACCGAGAGCCAGTGTAGTAGGGCAAGTCCTCTTCTTCTCCCCCCCACTTCCCTTCTCATCTCCCTGGATCCTCCGGGGCTGCTCACCCCCGTCCCAGGCGTGGTCTGTGGGGCAACCAGGCAGGAGAAGTGTGTTTAAATGAGAGAGGAGACCACCCCGTGAGACAGTTCACTTTCTCTCTATTTCCAGGCAGAGGCAAGGATAACGTTGGGACGAACAAAAACGAGAGCTGCCAGGGGCCAACACACCTCTGCGTCAATTAGAAAAAAGCCGGTCTCTCTTCACCACACTTCATTCCCCTCTGTCAAAAATTGTCCTCACGTACTGCTTCCATGTGATCTAAACTCTTCACTGCCATTTTCTGATACTCATTTCTACAATGTCTGGGTTAAGAGTCGTGCCCCTTGGGGGTGGTGTTCGGTGCACAACCCTCAGTACCGCCCAGGGAGTTTCTGGCCAGATGCACAATCACCAGATTGTGTTGACTGGTGTCGGACCTAGAAGGTCCATGCTGTGGCCCTGCCTCTAGTATAGAGTTCGCATCTGTAGACGCACAGCACTTCTTGAAAATAATCTAACGTCAGTGGCATGCAGAGTGGAGAGCACGATAGGGAAGTTCCCGAGCACATTTTTTTTTTTTTGGTGCCCTTGGGAGACACACGTTTCCGCTGTATACATTTAACTAGAACGTGATTCCTTTCTCAGCCAAGGAGAGTTTATACCATCGGTTCACCTGATATGGGCTGATTGCCATCGAGTGTCCACTGGACTGATAGAGAATACATTGATTAAAGACATCTAAACATCTCTGTCCCTGTTTCCCACGTATCCTACACCTGCCAATACGAATTCCAAGGAAATCAGAGCATCTCCTAAACTTTGAAACTCTGACTCAGTTGTCAGAAAAAAAAGAGAATAGATTAGTGGTGCAGATAAAGCACCTTTCCGTAAAGAAAGAGAATGACTACTCTGCTGGCCTGAGGGCACACCCCCAGGCGGCCGCTGTGGAGGCAGCATGCTCGTTTCCCCCACCAGCAGAGCCCTCAGGGCGGAGATCAGCTTCGGCTGGTCTGCAATGGTGGCGCACCTCACTGTAGACGCCCTGGAATCAGAACAACGTATGTAGGTTGGCTTAAAACATTAGTACCCTCAAAGTGGTATTTACATAAGACTCAGTGCTAACTTGTCGTAGAAAATAATGCACACGTTTCTATTCACAGGAACCTGGAGGTCTTTTTCCAGTACTGCCTTCATTTTAGCCAATGTGGAGTGTCCCTGACGGGCAGAGGAAGACCCTCCTTGGTTTCTGGGCACTAATAGAACTCCTCCAGCACACCAGTTCCTGGGTGGACTACATGGAAACATTACCCTTTTCTTGTAATGACCTATAGGGATGAGTACACAAAACCATTTTCTATTCGGTGGTTTCAGATGTGTGGGTGATAAACTGAAGTACCAGGTTAGCAATTTCCAAAGTGGCTAGAACGAGAAATAATCTGTGGGGCTATTGGAAGGCTTCATGATTCAGTCAGGTCACGGTCGTGTCGGGATTTTTAGGGCTCATCTGGGTAACTGCCATTCTTCACGGCTTGATCTACATTCACTCAATGTAATTCCAGTTAAAATGGTAGTGAGTTACTTTTATGGATATTGATGAAATAATTTTAAAGTTTCTTTGGAGAGGCAAGAAACTCAGAACAGCCAACTCAATGCTCAAAGAGAAGAGCAAGTCCGAGAAATGACACTGCTGTCTTGAAGACTTCCTGTGGACTGCAGTAATCGGGACAGAATAGCACGGGCTGGAGAACAGACCAATAGAACGAAAGAACAGGCCTGTTTACTTGTGTGTTAGGTGATTTTTTATTATGGACTTGTTACAGAACAAACTCGGGGAGCAGGGGTGAATGATATGCTATCACCGAATGGACCCCGCCTTGTGCTCCAGGGCACCCCCCAGGGACTAGGTTCGCCTTGCCCGCCACCAGGGAAAGACGTCTCTCAATGCCAGAGATTGGTGAAAAGGAAAGGGATTACTTATTTAAAAAGTTATATAGACTTAGAATAATGATTTAATGTCTTCGTTAAAAATACTGAATTCCTTTAGAATACCCACAAACGCATAGCCCTACCTTTTCCCCTTTGCCCAGTCCAGGTACCTTATCAGGAAAAGATACATATAAGTCCGTGGTTCAGGCAGCCCCTCGGTTCCAGCACCATCAGCTGTGTTGCCGCCATGATGGATCTCCAGTTAATCCACAACCATGGGGCACCTTCTCATGGCCCACCAGCAAGAGTCCTTTCACCCCTTTTCTTCCAGGCAAAGTCTCTCCTGCTTCCTAAGCCACATGGCAAAAGGGAGCACCCTAAAGCTGCATGGTCCCCCCCAAAAAGCCGCGCATGATTACGGTGCCTGGGTTTAAATCCCAGCGCCAATCTTCCTGTGCAGCCCCATTGCTGACTCCTCCCACAATCAGTTACACCTGCCAGCATTCCCAGTAATTCTTTCAGCTTTACTGGGCTGCCATAGTAAGTCCGGGCAGGCGTAGGCCCAAGGCGTGGAGCCAATCATTGCAAGCTTTTGTGTAGGTGGTGTACCCAGAAGGAGTTGCCTCCCCCTAACATCATGGGTTGAAGTCACTCCCATCCCCCTGGTTCAAAGCATGGCCACAGTTGTTTAACATATCCATGAAACCACTTAAAGGTCATGTTAACTGACCATTCTAGAAGTTATCTGCAAAACTGTTGCTATTCAAAACAACTTTCAATGGCCCTGCTCCATGCATCCCATCCCCCAGCTCAGACTTGTGGGGGTGAGGGCATCCTATATGTACATATTTTTCTAATATTTCCTGAACATCCTGAGTTCTGGACCCCATTACAAATCCCCATTTGGGGCCCTCCCTTGGCTGTACCCTGTTACAAACTTACATTTTGGTAGAATTTAGCCATGAAAAGTCTGAGAAAGTCAAACACCTGTAGATGTTGTTTATTTGCCTCCGCTGTATGCTAGAATTCATTACCAACATGGAACCGATTTAGCCCCTCCCTCCACATGTCCTAGGTTTGGTGCTGCGCTTTGGTCCTTTTTCACTAGAAGCACCTGGAAAGCTTGCAAACAATACCTGATCATGGCCCGCTCCACCAAAGTTCTGATTCAGCATAGCAACTATCCCAGCATAGCAGCTACCACGCAGTAGTGTGCAATGAACTGGGAAGAAAGAAAAGAAGGGTAGGATGAAGAGACGGAGAAGGGTAGGATGGATGAGGGAGGGAACAAAGGTGGAATACAGGGAGAGAAAAAAAGTACAAAGTGATAGAAAGACAGATGGTTTGTTATTCCATAAGCTGTCTTTATAATAAACTCATCTTTCATTTTACTAAGTGCAAGTGATTTGCCACACTAATTACATTGATTATGTATGTTGTATTCCTTCCTCTTTCAAGCAGTATTTTTTTAAAAGATTTTATTTATTTATTTTTGGAGAAGGAAGGGAGGGAGAAAGAGAGAGAGAAACATCAATGTGCGGTTGCGGGGAGTCATGGCCTGCAACCCAGGCATGTACCCTGACTGGGGATCGAACCTGCGACACTTTGTTTTCGCAGCCCGCGCTCAATCCACTGAGCTATGCCAGCCAGGTCAAGCAGCATTTTTTAATAAATAAAAACCAAACCACTCTTATACACTGATTGTAAGGTGTTATCCTGATTTTAACACTAACAAAATGCTTCATGGGATGGATAGGGCATGTCTAAAATCTAAGAAGTACAACTCATACTCCATTAGAGCTGTTGGCTTTGAAAACCCTGCTCTTCGTAGAGGTCCCCGGGTCTTCAGTACTTTCTGATAGAGAGAGAGGTTACATTGTTCTTGCAAAGGTTCTCGCTAAAGATTCAGAATAGGTTTTGAACCTCTTTCTTTGTCTGTTTATAGTTTTTGCCATTCTAAAAATATATGCACTATATTTTCAGAGACATGAAAACGTGAGTGTGAGTATGTGTGTGAGTGTGTGAGCACGTGTGTTGCATTTCCTGTGTGAAACCTCCATTTAAACAAACAGGAGCCACAGCCCTATACATAAAGCCCATTTGTATTCAAAGCAAAAACAATGACCTTGGATATGAGGCTGTCTCTGTTACTAAGTTGTCTAGAAGACCACCATAATTTTGAGAGGCACCATCTCCAAATGCCAGGTTTTAAGTTCCACATTATTAGACTCTGAAAGGCTAAATTGCCCTGGGGCAGGGCTTAGTTGGCTGTGTTTAAAAGTTCATGTAGTCAGGAAATTGTAACTATAAAGTTACATTTCCCTGTCACTTATCATTCTGCAGCTCATTA